AGAGATAAAAAAAAGCGCCTTAATGCGGTGCCATACGCGCGCACGGGACAGCGCATACACGTTAAACTCATATTCATACGTACGTCGACCGTATGCCGCACATACGTAACGAGGAATCTTGTTTCGTTGCGTCTAGTGACCTTGGGTGCACGCAGTGTAAAAGAGCAAACCGACAAATAAACTCCTTCGTAATTTTAGATTCATCAAGTCCACCGAGCGAAAGGTCTCTCCTCCCTTTTTCTTGTTTCCTCCGTTTCCCTCCCGCCCTCACGATCGCTCCTTATATCCTCTCTTACGTGTGTGTCGACCTAGCGAGCATATGAAGACAAAAAGATGCCGGAGCACTATGTCATACTTGCGCTCGTAGACGAAGGCGAGTTCTACTTTGAAGTTCCTCGGGGTCCGCTCTCGTTAATGCGTCGCGTCTATAGCCGCTAGAGATATCTTTGTCCTCGGCTAACCGATTAATTTTCCCCCGGCTTACCTTCCCCTCCCCCCGGAGCAAGGGAAAGGACACGGAGCGTGTCACGTAGCGCACAGAGCGCACGTTTCATTTTAGCTGTCTCGTAACGAATTCACGAAAGCTTTGAATTACTTTCCAACTATCGTCCACCTCCGATTGTTGAGCAAGGTTACGCGGTAAGGCAAGGCTGTCCGCTACAAGGAAACGTATAAAGCGCGAACCGCACCCACGTCATCGGAGGATAATGGCAATAGTATTTTGTGCATCCTGCCGTGCCTTGTCCGGTCTCGGCTCTAACGGGCTCACCGCGAATCGAGTATATCGATCGAACGTAGAAGGCGATATCTTGATCGGCGATCGCCCTAAATCGCCCCGCTGCAAAAGAAACGCGATATATTTTTGAACCGGTACTCGGTATTTACTTTGTAGAGACTTAGCCGTACAAGATCTCGTACAAGTGCGTCCGCGCGACAATGAGAGAGGGAGGAGAGAGGGGAGAGAGAGAGGAGAGAAAGAGAGAGAGAGAGAGAGAGAGAGAGAGAGAGAGAGAGAGAGAGAGAGAGAGAGAGAGAGAGAGTAAAAGGAATGAGCTCGGGGAGAACGAAGAAGAGGAGAAACGAAGAAGCCGTCCGCTCCGCGTCGCGGAGGTGGTGGTAAGTCGTTTTGTGTCTGCAGCTCGTCTAAATATATACGATCCTCTCTTCGGTGCGGTGCAGCCTTTCTCAAAGAAGCAGGAGAGACACGAACGGACTCTGCCACGATTTTAGAGAAATCCCTGTGCACATCGCACGAGCACGCGAGTGCGGCGACAAATCGCGTGACTACGGCCGATCTGACCGATCGAAGCTAGACCGAAGGACCAGAGCACCGCGCACTGTGGTTCGCCTCTTCTCTCATTTAACATCTTCGACTTGATTCACATTAGCGATTATACATTGTCAGCTTCTAATTAACGCGTGAACATCTAATCAAAAATAATTTCCTTCAAGGCTCGTACCATTGTATACACAATTTTCCTCCATTACTTCAATTTCAATTTAATGTAACTAATTAATATAACATACGATTAATTCAAGAATAACATCAAGGATAATAATCGGTATTAACGTGAAAAGAAAGAGAAAGAAAGAAAGAGAGAGAGAGAGAGAGGAAGAAGGAAAAAAAATAAAATATCTTTGATCCCAATTGAATAGTTCTCACTCTCTTCTTTCCTTTTTCTCTGTCAGCTCCTTCCCTCTCGTTTCTATTATAGACAATACAACGCAATAATCGAACGCATCCGGAAGTTAAATAAAGCAATCTATACGCGGGAATTATGACATCCCGGAGTCGCGTCGCGCGCGTTACGGAGCGCGATGTGCAACGCTGTCGTCGTTTACCTACTTAAAAGAAAAAATAGCGCATTGGCTTACTAAACTTCTTTAATGCACAACGGCGGCGTTGTCTTCGTGGCTGCAGCCAATTAGCCGCGAATCTTGTACGGAGGATCGAGCGACGCGCTCCTCTCCGCGAGGGCGACCGGCGAGGAAAGGGTTTCGATCGCGCCGCGCGCCGCCACGTGAATAAGGCCCATTTATGTAAAACTTTCAGGCGTTTTTAAACATGCGTTTCCGAGGTAATCTGCCATCGTATGAAATTGGGTAGAAATTGTTCGAATCCGAGAATGCGGGGAGCAACAATGAGACGCATAGTGATTCCTCAGCCAAACGCTCGTCTCTCTCTCGCTCTCTCTCTCTCTCTCGACAGATTTCGGTCCGAAACCTCTCGCCGCTTGTACCTCCCTTCTGGCCGATCGCGTATTAAAATTAATGTTTATACACACGGACAGACCGGTTCTCAAAGCGACGACGTTTGAAAAGTGCTGTTAACTGATTTACGCGGCGTAACGCGAGGATTCTCCGGTCGAGGAAATAAAATAATGCAAAAACATTCTCCCTTTCCGGAAACTCGAAACTCGAACTTCAGGTGAATTATAAACGCCGGAAATCGATGCCCCGGCGATTAAAGATTTTATCGGACGAAATCTGTCCGGCTCGTCTCGTCCGTTTCCCTCTCTCGTGACGGTGGTATCGCGCGTATACGATTATCGTGTGTGTTGTTAAACCGAAGTTATATTATCGAGAGACAAGGAGACAATTTCACGGAAACGCGTCGCGCCCCAGAGACGCGACAGTAAAAGACACACAGACGTTGAGTTCGACGATATTATTGTAGAAACGCGCGATCGTTCCCTGTCGCCACCTTGGCGATAAATACTAATTGAGATTAGCATCGGTGGTAACGCCTAACAGGTGTTCCGTGAGAAGTGTTTCGAGGCGAGGAAAGGAGATCCGTAGGAAGAGGGTGGAAATCTGAGAAGGAAAAAAGAAAAATAGGCCTCTTAGGCCTCTCTCCGGGTTTCGACAAAAACGACACGTATAAAGCGCATATACAGCTATTTCTCGATTCACGCAGGTGCCACGCCATATGTTATAAGAATTTCTTTCGCCATTTTATAAAAACAATTTTCAAAAAATTTTAAGGGGACTTTATAATCATACAATTATTCGAAAACCATGGACGTTCGTAGAAAAAAAAAACATGAAGAGTTTTCTCGTCGCAGAACGGTCTCTGATTCCTTAGAAGGACACTCCGTATTAAATCAGAATAGTCTGGCTAATGAATTTACCTTTACTTAATACGCGGATGTGATTAAGAACGATCCGAAAATGGTTAGTACGGTCCACGAAAAATATCAGGGTCGACAGCTTGAGCAGACTTAAGCTGACAGCCAGCAGAAATCAATCGAGGCGAGTTTGCGAACGCACAATTGGCCGGCCCCATTATCATCCAGACATCCAATTTTCTGTTGAATAGCAGCTATAAATCTCCACCATCTCCTAATATCTCCTAATATCATAACGTTAGGTACAGCGGTAATTAAATCGCCCGGAAGTCCCTCCAGCGGGTGAAGCGAAACGAAGAAGAAAAGTTTTTACTATCGCAAAATTATTTGTGGATCAACAGGTGGTTTCCTTAAACCGAAACTTTCGCGAAACTCGTTTGATTATTCGGCAAACGCGCGCGCGGCATTGGGCGATCGAATTTGTATGCCAGACGATATTTGGTTGTTACTGTTTTCAAAAACGTCGTCGCCAGAAAAGCGACGCCTCGATTATCATTGCAATCTCGTATATACGGCGGCGTTTCGTTCGGGCTCGAATTAATGCGAACCTTCGGCCTTCCGTCCTCCTCGCGCGCGTGTAAACACGCTGGTAGACGCGACGGGCGTTTACGGTATCGACGACCGACCGACGGGGCGTCCGATAAAGGAGAGAGACACGGGATAGTTAAATAAGACAGAAATAAACTAGAACGGGTAAACGAAACCCGCGTGTAAGAAGAATGGAATTGGCGGAGGGAAAAAGAGGGCACGAGCAAGCCGGTGGACATTGCTAGATCCTTATAAAGAAGAGAAACGAGCTACTCGCGTCCTCTTCTCTCCGCTTGTGCCCTCTCCCTCTCTTTCTCTCTCTATCTCTCTCTCTTTCTCGCTGCAACAATTCTCAAAGATATTTGAACGTTACGTTGTCAAGTAGAAAACTGTTCTTTTACCGTTTACTTTTCCAAGCTCGGTAAAATATTAAACAAATATAGGTATGACACATTTTGCATTTCGAAAACTCGTGAAGATAACAAGAGCGGGAGATTCAATATCGATAACGACGTGCAGCAATTTGCCAATTTTTAAAAATAAAAGACGAACCGGCGCGGCGAGAGCCTTCGCCGTCGAAACGATTGTTATCTTACGTCAATCTCGTCAAATTCGCCAAAAACACGACGGCGCCGACACGCGGCGCACACGGAGCACGGAGGCGCGGACGAAGGTCACGTTTTTTAGCGATCCCGCGGCGCGGGTACGGAGAGGAACACGTTTCACACGGTGAAAGCGTAATCTCGCGGTGGCCTGCGAGTCGCGAGGAAAGCATTATGATCAGCCGACGGGGGGAGGGGGGAGGCACGTCACGGATGTGCACTCGGTCGCCGGCACGGCACGGCGCGCCGATGCCCACCGCTTCCCCCCGTCTCTTGTTCCTTTTTTTTCCTCCGTTTCTTTATTTTTCTTTTTCTTCCCGCGCGCGTTTCTCATTATGTAAGACCGTCGCGCTCGCGGTCGCGCTCTCGGAACGGAGTCGCGGAGAGTCCGAGAGCGGCACGTACGTATAGCCGCGTTCGCCACACGTACGAGACGCCTCTCTAACCTTTAAAGGACAAGAGACCGCTCCCAGGCGACAACCGGGCGAAAATCGACCGACCAGGCGTGTACGTACGGGGAACGGAGATCGAGAGAAACCTCTCGGCGAGAGAGAGAGAGAGAGAGAGAGCCGAGGCCGAGGTGCGAGACCGGAAGAAGGAAGGGGAGGGCTTCCGTTTGACGTTTGTCTCGATGGTGCCCTCCCTTCGGGTTCGGAAGATCGTGCCGGTCGATAGGGACCGTTGGCGTTGTTGTTTGGGGTTGGACACAACAGGTAAACAAGATTTATGGATCGTTACTTACCGGCGGGCCGATGCGGTCTCCTCGCCCAGTCGTCCTCGATCAAGGGTGCGACTTTTCGCGCGCGCAGCGTCAAAGGGCAGGAAGCGACGATGAATAGGATCGGCAGCATCAGACCACCGTGGAGATGCATCTTGGCGACTCTCGGTCTCTCGCGGCGGCCACCCTAATCCTCTCTCTCTCTTCCTCTTCTCCTTCCGCCGGTTTATCAGCCGGCTAACTCTCTCGCACACGGTCCTGGCACTCGCACCGGTGCCTTACGCATATAGCGCGTCTTCCTCCTCTTTCCCTCCCGCTCTCCCTCTCGGTCTCCTTCCTCGTCGTCGAAGCCCCGCGGCACTGGTCTATTAACGACCGTTCACTGCACAAAACTTTTCTGCACCACGTAATCTACCCCTTCGCGTTTCCGCCGAGAAAAACAGGGAGGGAGAGGAAAAGCGTTTTGAAAGGCTGTGTATCTCGAACGAGCGCGTGACGCGCCGCGCGGCCGCCTCTATTATATTCCTATTCGGCGTGTCGGCACTGTCGGCGTTCGAGGTGGTACGTATACCGAAGGTCCAAGACGCGATCCTCACGTGCGGACGTTCCGCGTTACCGCGCAAGCACACATATAGGAAACACACGAGCTCTCTCGCGCGCGCGGAGGGAACGAGGCGAAGCGAACAACTGGCGAGAAAGCCTCCCGGTCTCGCGCGCCGCGCTCTCTCGCAACGCAACTCCGAGCCGCTACTCCGAGCGATCTCTCGATTCGCGCTCCTCTCGCGCCTCGCGTCTCGCGCCTCGTGCGCCCCTCCGCACCACCACCGCCGGCCGGCCACCACGAGAGCGCGCGATACTGCGGGCTGCGGCGCGCGTTTTATAAGGTGGTAGGTATAGCGTAGTAGGTACACGGCCGCGCGCTACGAGAGCGCCCCGAGAGAGAGAGACGGAGAGACACGGGAGAGCGGAGCGGCGGCTGCTTCGTCGTCGTGTCGTCGGCTCTTCTCTCTCTCTCTCTCTTCCTCCTCTTCGTCTCGTTTCGCGCCCCTGCACTCCGCCCTCTCTTGCCACCCGCGTGTGGCTCTCTCGCGTCTCTTATTCCCGTATATCTCTTTCGCCGCTTCTTCTACCTCGCGGTGTTAACGCCGGTTCGCGTCTGCGACTGACACACGGTGCGGCCGGCACCGATTTGATTTCCCGACCACGAGTTGCGCCGCGCGCGCCAAGCGTATCGGATAGCAAACGTCCGACTGACTGACTGACTGACCGCGAGCCGTCTGGTCAACTCCTCCCTGGTGGGAGGAGGAGGAGGAGGAAGAGGAGGAGGAGGAGGAGGTGGTCCTCCCGCGCGAGCGCGCCCGTGCTCCCCGGTGCCGTGTCCTCCTCCGCGCGCGAGATCGCGAGATCGCGCGAGGAAGCGGGATCAGCGGGTTCCGCGCGTCGCGAGCCACGACCGAGTTTTCGGTCGCCGAGAGCCGCGCGCGCTCGCCCGCTCTTCGAATTCCGCGCGATCGTGCGCGCGCGCGCGTCACGCGCGTCACGCCTAATATAAAACGCTTTACCACTTTCGTACGGTTGCCCGCTCCCCCGCGGCGCGGACGACGACGGGCGACCCTCTCTGCCACCGACGCCTCTGCCAACGTAAGCCAACGTTAGCGTCGCTCTGTCTGGCGTCGCGCGCCCGCTCCTCTCTTATAATAGTCCGCAGCCACGTGCTATACCGCGCGCTCTCTTTCTCTCTCCCTCTCTCTCGACCGATTCTTCTCGCGAGGAAAAAAAAAAGATTCGCGCCGAACGATTATCGCCGCGATAACCGTTGCCGTTATCTCGTCAACGTACCCGAAAACGACATGCGATATAGAAGGTGAGCTTTTTCGATTCGGCGAGAGAGAGATCGGCGCTTTCCCAGATAACCGCTTCCGGTAGGTCTGCAATGACAACTGCCCGCAGGCCGCTCGGCTCCGTCTCTTTTATAGGGGACGGCTGAGAGTGCGCCGAGTGCGGCGCGGCGCCGACCGCTGACTGGGGCTGGGGCTGAGGCCTGGGGCCTGAGGCCCCCGGCTATGCCTCGCGCGCGAGCAAGGGTTAATCGAGAGAACTCGTGTCGTCCGGCGTGTGTTACCTCGATCGCGCGCGCGGTGGGTGTAGCGGGTATAACGAATCGCCGTCCGGCAGCCCGAGAGGTGTGCGAGGTAATGCCGCGCGTGTAGTGGGTGCGCCGATCGGCCCCACTACGGTAGGTACGTGCTCGAGCCTCGAGCAGGCCGAGCCGAGCCGAGCCGAGTCAGGCCGGGCCAGCAGGCATCTCCCGAGCCGAGCGCCGGAGAAGCGGAGATGCGTGCGTGCGTGCGTGCGACGGACACCGCTATCTGTCTCGTCATCCGCGCGTTCGGCAAGAACGGACATCGAGATGAAGGAGAGCGACCGCGAATCTGTAACTTGTTGAAAGACTCCTCATCCTCGTATAATTACCCTCTCGTGGAGTTTCGAGAAGGAGAATATTTCCTACTCGCGCGGAAGTAATAATAAACGGCACCGATATATCAGCATCGTATTGTTATTATGTTATAGCCATCCTCTTCGTTTCTTCCTCCGCTCTTATTTCGGAGCGCTACGCAACAAGAAATATCTTGGCCGCGCAAGCATCTAAATTTCGCCAACGGCGCAAACACACACCTGCAGTCTTGTAAAGTTTATGCAGCGCCAGGGGATTAAATTCATACAGCAATAGCATGTTAAATCCGCCCGACGGAAGACGCTTTACAAAGCGTTATATGTATACATATATATATATTTATATTTATATATACCCCGAGAGAATGTTTAACGCTTTATATCGCGGTCGGACACCGCGCGCCCTATTCTTGGCACGTCGGGACCAAACAAACAAGGAATGAAAATATCATTTTGATTACGCGACGACATTCTCGTCAGACTTGGACGGTGAAAAGGATCTTTCGTTATAAAAGTCTCGGAAAAAGAAGCTTAAGAAACGCTCGCTTCGCTCGATATTTCCGTTTCGGAATCATAAAGTCGCGAGAGATTCCGAGTATAAACGCGCGACTGGACACGAGGCGAGAGCGGGAATTTCGAAGAACGGAAAGAACGCGGCGATAAATATCGTTATAACGACGCATCAATGGTTCGAGTGTTGTGAATGGAGATGAACAGGACGCCGACGCGCGATAATCTTAATCAAATTCGTCGATTCATGGCGTGTCGAGATGACGTAGGCGTTGAATAAGCTCACCGCGCCTCGCGATGCAAATACGTTTCGCGACGTCAATCGCATATTTTAAATACGCGGTTATACCGAACACAATAAGATCACGCGCGCCTGTTTATTTGTCTCTTTTCGTGACGAAAGTGCGTCGTGACGGACCCGTTGAGTAACAGACAGGAAGATCGTCCGTGTAGGTATACGACAATCTCGCGCTTCTCCTTGACGCGCGCGCGCGGTTTTTCTTTTTCATATTAGCCGGTCGCCGATTTCGAAAAATGCGGATTAGGTGCGAAAGGAGGCCGTACCTATACGGAGGGAAGGGTGAACGCGTCAAGTGTGAGTACGTGGGACCTCAAGGTGAGAAAAGAAAAATGACCAAGAGGGGCTGGAGAGGCAAACGCCGCGCCGCCTCTTCTTGCGTTTGAAGGCGAGAGGGGAGACGGCGCTTTCGCAGATTCCATGTGAGATACCTGCCGGCATTCTTCGTCCTGCAGCAAAGGCATTAAGCCGGATGCACATTCGTCGTGGACGACGTTTCGTTCGCGGTATTCGTTTTCCAAGAAAAATATCTTCCGCCTCGAAACGAATTTTACGGCGGATTTTGTTGACGGTTGTGCGAAGGGTCCGCGCGCTCGATCCGACGTCTCCTCCCCTTCCTCCCCGCCACCTTATGGATGGTCTTCACGTTTCCATTCGTCGCGCCCTCGAATTATTATTCTTGCCGACTAATTGGATAGAATGTCGTGCGTTAAACCTATTTTGAAGAAAAGATCCGCTCGGGAGAGTTCTACGAACGCCGGTGCCCGTCCGCGTCGGTGTGACGATTCTCGGCCGATGGAAAGAAGAGGAAGGGGGGAAAAAAAGGTATCTTCGCGCCTGCCACCCCGTGCGCGACGTGGCGCGGCGCCGCTTTTATCGCCGGTGCGCATCGGATGACGAGACCGAGATGTTAGCACTCCCACGCCGTTAAGCCCGTCCATTTATCCCACCCGACGTACAAAACTCCACCCTCTCCGCGCCTTCCATTCGGCATATCTCCGATCGCGAAATAAAAGGGGGGAAAAAAAGAAGGTGAGGAAGGGAAGAAAGGGAAGGAAGGAAGAAAATAAGACGACGCACGATGGAACGATGGATCGAGGAGGCGCGACTCCCAACTCCCAATTTCGCCGGCGATTTAAGTCGTCATTGTACGGAGCCCCGGTACGGGGCGGAAATAAGAAGAAATCGCGACCGTCTCGCAGGATCATCAGTCTCTATTGTAGGATTTTACGATGGAATTCTGACGGTGCATCTTGCGCGTTTTCACACGACACGGCGGCGCACACAGGTACGGCGCCGCGCCGCGCCGCGGCCCCGTGTGCGTGAAAAAGAGCGCGCGCGGAGATCGGAACGCGCGAGAGGAACGCCAGGCGGGAAGGAGAAGGAAGAAAGGGAGAAAGGAGAGGCTTATGAGAGGATCGGCTTGAAAGGATGTGGCCTGGCCCGCGTCGACTATTCATAATCGAGAATGACAAATCTAATAGATTCCCGGCGATGCGGTCCGCCGCGCCGCGAGTCGCGAGGCGATGTCCGGCGGAGATGATGGTGGTGGCGGGCGCGGGGGAAGGGAAAGAAATGAAGAGAAAAAAGTAAAAGTGGTTTTATTCAAGGCAACGGACGTAACGCTTCATCGAGTTCGGCCCGCCAACGACGAAGACGGCGCGCCGTCGCCGTCGCCGTCTTCGTCGCCGTCGTCGTCTTCGTCGCCGTCGCCGTCGTCGTCGCCGTCGTCACCGTCGACTCTTATGTATTCCGTTGTATTTAACAATAATACTCACCCTCGGGGCATGCTGTACAAAAAGAAACCCCGACACATGAATGAAGTCAAACTACTTTTACGACAAAGATTTTCGGACAATACTCATTTCGACCGTAACAACTCATAGTCACGGTCGGAATACTCGGAATGCAGATGGTTTAGTATTGTCATTGGCGCATTTAGTCGCACAGGCTAACCGCCGGACAACTGACCGAGGTATTCAGTTCCTTAGAAATCGAAACCGTAAACCGGAACGCTCGCTAATGCGCATGGGACAAGCGAATTATTCGGCGTTCATTCCCTGCATTATTCGCGCGTCTTGACCGTCACGCTGATTACGATTAAACTATTTGTCAGCCGACCTCACTTGACTCTAGGATTCAATAATTCTGAGGAATGTACGCGAGATGCGATGCCGACGAGAGAGAAAGCGCTCTGGAAATGATCCTCTTCAAAGTAATAACAGATAACAGATACAGCTCGAAACTAATAATTATCTC